CTGGACAGGGAGGAGAGCCAAGAGTCAACCATGATGCCCACAACAGATGCCCCCATCATTGACCTTTGGGGATCCTCCCTTCTCTCCCAGCCTTCCCACACTGATTCTGTGAGCCTGACCTGAGCCTTCACCTCGAAGGAAGGCGGTCAGTCAGTCACAGCCCTCCCCCACAACAGAGAAGGAGACGTGGCGCCGTATTTACTGGTAGATTCGCCCTCATACAAGCATTGCTCCCTGGCCCCCAGCAGATGTTCTCCTCAGGTAGAGAGCAATGGAAGAACACACATTCTAAAGTCAGGGGCCATGGGTTCAAATCCTCTAACAGTTGCCATCAATCTGTAAACCTTGAGCAAATCACTTCTCTTCCCTGACCTCAGTCTCCTCATCTGCGAAATGAGAAGGTTGGACAAGATGACTTCGGAAGCCACCTCCCTCTCTGGTCTTACAATCCTAACATTGACTAAGCACTGATTATGAGCAGCTACTGTGTTCAGTGCTGTGCGTACAAAGATAGAAAAGAGCAGTCCTTTCCCTCCAAGGTGGGGGAGGCCGGGGCCCAACACATCCAAAGATCCCAAGGAAAGAGACAGAAATCAAAGAAGGAAGAAGCACTTATTGGGCCCTGGCTCTGGGCTCGAGGACAGTGTGACCTTGGGCAAGTCCCTTCAGTTATCTGGATCTCAATTTTCTCCTCTGTAAAAGTGCAGGGAGGGTGGAACTACCTGACCTCCAATGTCCCCTCTAGTTCTAAATCTGTCTCAAGTCGATTTGAAGGCATTCTCTGCTGCTTGCCTAGTAACATCTTGTGAAGGTTTGTCTAAGTACCAAACACACTGGTTATTTCTCTGCTAGTGAAACAGATTGAGCCGAGTTCAAATCCTGCCTCAGATAGTTATGTGACCCTTGGCAGGTCACAACCTCTGCTTGCCTCAGTTTCCTCATCTGTAAAATAAGAGTCGGACTCCATGACCTCTCCAATCCCTTCCATCTTGATGTTTCTGGAGAAGGAAATGGCAAACCCTTCCAGTCTCTCTGCCAAGGAAACCAGAAATGGGGTCAGAAGAGTCAGACATAACTGAAACAACTCGGCAGCAAAGGGGTGAGAGAATGTTTCACCGAGGGTCCTCCGCCCGGTTAAATCTCCTGGTCAGGTCTACAGGATGGAAAGCGGGGCTCAGAATCACTTCGCCTGTCTGTGCTGACTAGCCAGGGTTTGGATTTCCGCTCCTGTCTCACGGGCACTTCAAAAATGTCCATAAACGTCTGAGGGCTTGATGTTCAAAAATGCCACAGAGACACTTCACCGGGCTGCCAAAAGCCCAGCGCGTGGCTCTGTGGCCTAAAAAGACAGGAGCGATGCCAGGGGGTCACGGCAATGATTTCTGATGACCCAAGGGGCTGTGCTCTCAGCACCGCTGCCTAGGCCTCGCTGGTACAGTTGTCGAGAACTTATGTGCAAAGGACTCTGCAAACCAGGAAGGGAGATGAGGGTCAGCTGCTATGGTTGTTGTTTCTGATTCATGCTGGATCCATGATCCCATTAGCTGCAGGTATGTCCTCAAATCACACAGAGCATAACCCATGTCCCACTTCAGTGGGCCCTCCACCATGTTGGATGTCTTTTCCTAGGTCCCTTGCATACTAGTGGAACACGTCATCTCTCTATGGGTTGCCTCTTCCTCTCGCCCACTCTCTTTTCCAGTCATTTATCTCTCTAATAACATCCTTCATTATGCTTCTCCTATATAATTTTTGGTTGGTCACATGGAGTAGCCTCTTTACACACACCATGCACCTCCCCATTGACCTCTGGGTGACTTGAATTCACCAACGAGGGCCCCGTCAACAGATTATGTCTAAGGACCAACCTAGCCAAGCACAGAGGGACTCATTACCCCTAAGTTGACCATTTGGGGGTGAATTCTTTGACCATGGCACCCCATGTAACAAAGAAAAATGTATTCTTCAGTTAGGCCCATTAGAATCCCCTCACCCCAACCCTCTTAATACTGTGCAAGATCACTCTCAACCTGGGCTTTGGACTCTCCAGCTCAGATTCTGACAATTACAAGCACTGTCGCCATGGGACACATGGGGAAACATAAATAACCCCCACTTTCCATCTTCCTGCACGCGTGCGCGCGCACACACACATGCACACACACACACACACTATTATTTTTAAGGTCTCCCTCATTAGAATGTAAGCCCTGTGAGGGCAGGCACCATGTTTTTAGTCTTTCTTTGTATCTCCAGCCCTTAGTACAGAGCCTGGCACACAGTAGGCACTTAATAAATGTTTGTTGACAGACTATGATTCAAATGGAACATCCCTGGAGGTGGTCTTCTCCTTACAGAAAAAAAAAAAATAGGACCAGATCATCGTGGCCCAGAACAGCCCATGCTTGGAGGTGAATCCTACCACAATACTAACACCTCCAAACAGAGAGCTTTCTCATTCCAGTTGCTATGACCTTCAGGGGACTGGCTGAGGTATTAGAAGCCAAAGACAGAATCAGCTGCTGCTATTTGTGAAAGAAGAGCAGTGGGACCATCACTGGACTGAATGGATCTTGGCTGACCACTTAGTGGTTATTTTCACTAAATTAGATGTGTGAATTCATCAATCAATATATAGACAGATTACTTTTTAGTAATATAAATTAATTTTAAATAAAAGTTATTCTGCCTACTGATCTACATGGTTAGTAGCCCCTGGGAACCCTTTGAGCATTAATACAAAGCAAATCCCCTGAGCAAGAGAGTTCCAAAGGTCAAGGTGACCAGAGTGGGCATAGGCTTAGGGCAGAGGGGACAGCCTCTGTCAGAAGCTTCAGATTTGTAACAACAGCTCAGCCTCAAGGCACTGAAGTCCTCTTTGGCCAATATACGCACGATCTTGATCCCCATGTTGCTTCCCTTTGGGAAAAACATAGTCTATGCATAGCCATTCCCTTGGAAGCACAGACATAATAATAATGTGGCTCGAGTTTATATGATAATGGTTAACATTCTTCCTCAGCCTTTAAACACTTTAATATACATTATCTCATTGGATCCTCACAACCCCCTGAAGCAAATGCTATTATTATCCTCATTTCACAAATGAGGAAACTGAGGCCCGGAGAGATTAGGTGATTTGCCCAGCTCCCACAGCAGCTATCCCAGGCAAGATTTGAAACTGAGTGTTTCTGACTCCAAATCTAATGCCCTGTCTACTATATTGAGGACTTCCCAGCTTTAGAATCAAAGTTTTTGGGGGAAGTCTGATGCCAGGGAAAGACCTGGAAAGGCTGGAAGTCAGAGGACCTCTGCCACTTACTAACTGGATGAGTTTGAAAAAGTTATCTCCTCTCTCTGGGTCTCAGTTTCCTCATCTGTTAACACAAGCAGGGTTGGATGAGATGAACTCTAAGGTCCCTTCCAGCTTTATATTTGTGGTCCATTGAGCCTCTAAATATTAGAATTTGATGGAAGCCCATCTGTGCTCCCAGCATCCAGCTGTGTAGGTAACAACTAGGAGGAGTGGGTGGGCAAGAGAAATTCAATTTCTCCTGTTTTCACATGATTGCTACTTTAGAATTATGGTAACAGCACTAGAATTCATCTGAGAGCTGCTTGTCTGAGTGCTAACTTCGATGGGAGCAAAGCAAAATCTCTTCTCATCCATCACCCTTATAACCCTCTTCCCCTCAAGCCACACGAATACATTCCACACAACACTGTCCCTCTGGAAGGTTAACCTCAGTGACCCAGCAGGTCCTGCTGAAAGGGGTTAACACAAAACCAGCTCCCTGCAGAAACTGGTCAGACCCAGGGTTACTGAAATCTCCTGAATCACACTCTAAGCATAGAGGCAACAGGGAGTGGTGAGGGGGTATACTAGTGAGATAGAGAAGCAGCCTTGGCAAGGAGAAGAAGCAAGAGAAAGGTGAGGGAGAAGAAACAGCAAAAGAGAGAGAATAGGAAAGGAAGGGGAGGAGAGAATAGATGGAGAAGTGGGCAGGAGAAAAGGAATGAGAAAAGAGGGGGAAAGAGAAGGTAAGGAAAGCAGGAAGAAAGAATAGGAGAAAGGAAAAGAGGATTTGTGCTCACAATTCCTAAGACTTTTCATCCACCCATAGAGCCTACTTGGTTTTCATTTTGAATTTGTTGGGTCTTTTTTCCCTTAACATGCTGAGTATGGGGGAAAGAGGTTCCCTCTCTCAGCCTGCTAGTAGCTCAACTGCCATCCATTACAGCAGACTCCCACTCATATTAATAGCCAAGCTATTATTCTCTCCCAGCCTCAGTGGTGACGCTGGCATATCACTCTCCATTTTATGAAGGCACTTCTCTATCACTCAGGGACTGCTGCCTCCTCTATCCATGCATCCTCAGAATTCCAAGAGTGGAGGAGAAAGGGACCCTGAAGCTGGTCATCGTTCTTGGAGGAGAAAGAGGATGGGTGATGGTCCTAAGCATATCTCCCTAATCAGGTACTCTTAACCTAGGCTAGGTTGACTCATTTTTTTTTTAAATTTTGATCACTGCATTTCAATATAATTGGCTTCCTTTGTAATCCTAGAATTTTACTTTATGCATTAAAATACTATTCTCAGAAGGGGTCCGCAGTCTTCCCAAGATTGCCAAAGGGGTCTGTGACATGCACAAAGTCATTCCTTCCCTAATTCCTTTTCATCCCTTGCTGCATACCACCCAAAGAGACTTGTGCCCCCTCTTGCATTAGTGCATCTTACCCTCCTGATACCCTTTGCCTTGCGGTCCTCATAAGACTCTAGGTTTAGAGCTGGGAGGAACTGCCATGGTCATTTAACCCAATCCCCTCTGTTTTCAGGTAAGGAAACATGCCCAGAGAGGGGGACTGGTTGGTCACGTGAACAATCATACAGGTCAAGTGAGCATACGAGCCAGGATTTGAACGTACATTTCCACTGTCCCATTCCTCCAAATCTCCTTCTGTGTGTACGTTTAGCCCCATTATATAGATAAGGCAACTG